CCCTAGCCCTAGCCCTAACCCTAGCCCTAGCCCTAACCCTAGCCCTAGCCCTAACCCTAGCCCTAACCCTAGCCCTAACCCTAGCCCTAGCCCTAACCCTAGCCCTAGCTCTTGCGCCTGGCTGCATCTTTTTCTGATTTTATCTTGTCTTTTTCTTCTTTCCAACCCTATCCCCGCTGCGCGCGGCGCGACCCTGCCGGGAGCTAATTTGCACGGGTTTTCTCTCCCTATCTACTATAATCTCCTATTGCTTCTTTTTTTTCCTTTCCTGGGGGGTGGGGGGGGGGCCTTCTTCTTCTCTATGCTCTCCAGCTGCTCTTTTTTTTTTTCTATCTTTTCTTTCTTTTTCTCCTCTTTCCTCTCTTGCTGCTATCTGCTGCCCTAGTTTCCCCTTTGACTAATTCTAATCTCCTTCTCTTCTCTGCCTGCTTTATTCTGTATAATCTTCTCCTGCTTTCTTTCTACTAATGCTCTCTTAGCTATATCCTCTGCTATCTTATTCTCTTCTAATCACTCTGCTTCTTTCTTGCTCTATTTTCTCTAATCCTACCTTTCTTTCTACCTTGCTAGCCCTAAGCCTCGCCCAATCTTTCTAACCCTAACCCAAGCTCTCTCTTCTAATCCTGGTCTTTGCCTTCTCTTTAAGCCTTGATTCTTGCTTTCTTTTCTTCTTTTCTCCTTTTTTTCTTTTCTCCTTTTTTTTCCTGCTTTTTCTATTCCCTTTTTGCCTCTAATCCCTTTACTAAGCCCTATTCTATCTTCTATTCTTGCCTTTTCTCTAAATCTCTTTCTGCTCTCTAGTTTCTTTCTTAACCTTGCTTTCTCTTTTTATTTTATCTTGCTTTGCTCTTTTTCTGTTTTCCTCTTCTCTCGAAAGCTCTCTTGCTTTTCTGCATATTTGATTTTTCCTTTTGCTTTTCTTACTACCCTTTTCTTCTCTTTGCTTTGCTTTATTTCTCTCTCTGCTTTTTCTTTTTATTTCTCCCTTCTAGTACTAATCTATTTCTTTCCTTTCTACTCTCTATTTTTCTTTATCTTTTTCTCTAAATCTCCTTTTTTTTTCTCTCTTTTTTCTTTCCCTCTCTTTTCTTTCTTTTTTCCTCTCTCTTTCTCTTCTTTCTCCCCTTTCCCTTTTTTCCTCTTCTTTCTTTTTTTTTCTCTCTTCTATTTTTCTTGCAATTCCTTAATAAGCTTTTGAATATCTATGCTTTTACTACTTTTCTAAGCCTTATCTTCTTTTCTTCTTCTAATCTCTTTCTTTAAATCCTTTAAATTCTTATTAAACTCTTATTATCTTTATATTTCTAATCTCTATTTTATAGCTCCTATATTATTATTTCTACTAAATCTGCTCTCTTTCTCTTTTTTGTTTATTTATTTTCTTTCTTAAATAAGCTTTTCTTTTCTCTTTTTTCCTATATTTCCTCTTCTCTTTTATCTTCTAGCTTTATTTTGCTTTTCTTCTTATTTATTTCTCTCTTTTTCTTCTTTTTCTTCTTTTTTTCTTTTACTTTCTTTTCTTTTTTCCTTTTTTTTCCTTTTTTCTTTTCTTTATATATTCTTTTAGCTTTTTCTATCTCCTTTCTTTCCTTTTTTCGCCTTATTTCTTGCTTTCTCTTTCTGCTTTATATATTTCTTTTTTTTCTATTTTCTAGCTTTTTCTATTCTGCTTTTTAAGCTTTTTTTGCTTTAATATTCCTTTACTCTCTTATCTTTTCTTGCTTTTTTTTTATTCTTTTTATTTCTCTTCTTTCTTATAATTTTTTAAATAATAATATCTATTTTCCTCTATTAATCTTTTCTCTTTTTTTTAATTAAATATTTTGCTTTGCTTATTTATTATTTCTATTTTTTTTTATTTTCTTTTTTGATTTTTTTTTAATATTTTATTTTTTTTCTATTTCTTTTTTTATTTTTTAATTCTTAGTTTTTATATTATATTTTTCATAATTATCTTATTTTCTTTATTTCTTTTTATAAAAATTTATATAAACTTTTCTATTTATATATTTCTTATTTTATATATATTTTTTAGCTTTTTTCTAAAAGCTTATCTTTTTTATTAAATACTTTTATTCAAATTAAACTTATTTCTAAATTATTATATTTTATTATTTTATTATATAGTTTATAATAATATATAAATATATAAATAATATTCTATAATTATAATATTAGAATTTTCTTCTAGTATATTTTATTACTAATATCTATATAATCTTCTCTTTATTATAAATAATTTTATTTTCTATCTTATAAATTCTCTAGCTTTTATTTCATAATAAAAATAAAGCTTTTTTATTCTATATATATTATACAAAGCTTGCTTTTCAATCTAGCTTTATTCTTTTATTTACTTATTTTCTTTATTAAATAATAATATTATCTTATTTCTAATCTCTTCTTTCTCTTTCTTTTCTTCTGCATTCTTGCCTTTTCAGATTATATCTTAATTCTCTCCTTACTTTATACCTATACTTATATACATATATACACACATATACATATATATATATATATTTATTCTATATACAGCGCATCCTCTTTTTCTCAGCCTCTCTCCGTCGCTCTGCCCCGAGCTGACTTTCCCTGCTGGCTGTGATTACTTTCTGTTCTGTATCGCTCTCCCAGCCCAGCCTGCACCGTTCCGCCCCGAACCAATTTTCTTTCTCTACTCTTCATAACTATCTTTCATCTTGCACTGCCTCCGCAGCTCGCCCCGCCACAAACCGGCCTTCTTGCTCTGATGGAGCCCTAGTTGCACATAGCCTGCGCTGAACAACCACCAGCTAGCCTGCAATTCCCGGGTCTCCTATCTCTCTATCTATGAAAACCAGTATTGCCCCTTATTATACGCCTTCCATACCATCTCCTCCCATAATGCTAGCGCATTCGTCCTCTTTATCCCATGAAACCAACAGCTCCTGCCCAGCCACACATAAAATGCCTCGCGGTCCCGCAGATCCACCCCAAACCTCTCCCGGGCCAATATGCGCACCCATATCCACCGGCAGCCCGCCAGCACCACCGCTAGCACCTTATCCAGATCCGCGCACCTGCCCTCCTGCCCGCCCTCGCACCTCTCCTCGCACCAGTCCAGCGGGAGCTTACACTGGAAGCAGCACGCCAGCGCCTCGAACCGAACCCTCTTGCAGGCCTCTCTGTAGCCCTCCTCCTTCCCCTCCTCCTCCTCTCCCTCCTCCTCCTCCTCCTCCTCCTCCTCCTCGCCCGCCTTGTGGTCCTCCTCTGTACACCCATGCTGCTGCCGCGCCTCCATCTGCCCTAGCCGCAGCCCTCAATAATGGCGCCGCATATAGCATGCAGCACACTCGCCTGCCACCTCGTCAAGCCACCGCAGCAGCAGCCGCACTCGCCTGCCCTCCTCGAGCCCATATGCCTTCCAGATCTGGCCCCCTCCAGCCCTGCTGCGCCGCCTGCTGTCCTCGCCCGCCGCCGCCCCCTGTTCCTTCTGGCACTGGTCACACTGCTCGGCCCCATCGAGATCCTGGCACCCTTCCCCGCCGACCCCATCCATAAACGCGGCCAGCACCGCCCGCCAGCACCCTGTGATCGATACAAACTGCTCCATCTGCAGCTGGTTGTTCTCCTCCACAAAGCCTGCGTGCTCATTCCTCCGCCCTGGCTGCCCGTTGTAGACAATCACTGATTCCACCACCTCGCCCGCCCGCCGCCCGCCCCGCCCTGTCTGCTGCACAAAGTCCACCAGCCCGTACGGGAGCTCCATGTGCACCACCGCCACGATGCCCTCGATATCCACCCCTGTCCCGAGCCCGGTGGTAGCGGTGATCCACCGGTGCGGCCCCTGGCCGGCGGCCCATGCTTCGCACGCCGCCCGCCGCTCCTCCTCGCTCATCCCGCTGTGGTGGAAGCTGCAGCCCAGCTCCTCGGCCACAGCTGTGCACTGCTGTCTCAACCGGCAGTAGACCACCCCCTTCTGGTTGCCTGTCATCTCCCTCCTGAGCTGCTGTGCTATCTCGACTGTTTGCTCCTGGACTGCGCCTCGCCCTCCCTGCACCAGCTCAACACGGTACCGGCAGTTGGCCTTGGTGATCCTGGCCCGCACAGCAACGGCATCCTGCGCGAGCATCTCCTCCCGGAACCAGCTCTCCAGCACCGGCAGCAGCGTGGCCGTCAGCAGCACCATCGGGCATCCGAACCGCCGCAAGCTCTTCAGCTCGCCCAGCTGCGCCCGGTAGCTGATATCTGTGATCGCTGTATGGCACTCGTCCACGAAGATCCGCTGCAGCAGCCCTGCGAGCAGCAGCCCGTCTGCATATGCCGTGAACTCGGCTGTAGACACCAAGTCGGCGCTGGCCACCACCATCCGGGCCGCGCGCAGCAGCCCATCCCGCCCTGTGCTGAGCGATAGTCAGTACCGGATGCAATCTACGCTCATAGCAACAGCCCGCGCCACCAGATCCTCCATCAGCGCTACAAACAGCACAACTACAATGCTCGTCCCGCTGTCGGCCAGCACCGCTGGCACCATAAACAGCAAGCTCTTGCCCGCCCCGGTCGGAAGCACGCAGATGGCTGTCCCGTCGGGCCCGAGCTGCATGATCGTCCGCATGCTCTCGGCCTGCTCGCTGAACTTCCACGCCGCCTCAGGCCCCAGCAGCGTTCGCAGCCCTGCTGTAATCTCAGCATCCGTATCCATCCGCCTAGCAGCAGCTGTAGTCTTTGCCTGCTTGCGCTCTGCTGCTGCGGGCGCCTTTGCCTCCTCCAGCGCTGCACTTTTTCGCTTTTTCCCTAGTTGCACCACTTCTTCTATCCTCCCCCTTTCCTTCTTCTCTCCCCTGCCTTCTAGAAACTGGTACCACAGCCTGCTGACGGCCCGGAACGTCGCCACCATCTCCGGCTGCAGCCTGCCCAGAAACCCGATATGCACTGCATAATGCTGCCGAGCAATCTTAGTGCTGTGCATAGCCTGCAAATCCCATACGATATTCCAGCTTCCTCCAACATCCACCAGCTCGCCTGTCAGCGGGTCCACATCTATATTATCATCCTCATCCACCTCTTCTATCTATGCTTCCGCCTGCTGCATCGCAAGCTCTCGGATCCGCTGCCCCATCTCGATAGCAATCAGCCAATAGCGAGCTATGCTCATCCGGACCCCCGTACCAGCCTGCATCACTCGTGCTAGCAGTACGCTGAGCCGGTCTGTATTCCATCTCCTTGAATCGCCATCAGCCCACATATACTCGAGCTGCTTGCCCTGCAGCTCTATCAGCTTGTATTCGTGCCGCAGCATTCCCTCGCCCGGCAGCAGCCATGCAATATATGCGACAACCATCCGCCCGACCTGATCCAGCAAGAAGCAGGCCACCTTGCGCCCGTAGTTGCAGAGCGCCTTCATCTTATCGCAGTCTGTCACCAGCATCACCTGGCTGTCCAGCACAAACACGTTGCAGATCAGCTGCCACGAATCGCTGTACTGCATGGTCATCAGCTCCGGCCCGCGCCCTGGCTGCCCGCCCCAGATATGCACGAGCAGCAGCAATGCCTCTCGGAACAGCCGCAGCTAGCGGAGCCACTTCTTCACCCCGGCCTGCTTCCACCGGTTCCGTGCTGCATCCCAGACAGATAGTCCGATCAGCTGCATCACCTTGCCTGGCCCTGCCTCCAGCCATCTGTTCTTCGCATTTGTTACAAATGACTGGCCTGCGCCGAGCCGCATTATGCTGTCAGCAATCCGCTCCATAGCCAGCTCCCGGCGCGCCTGCGCTCATGTGCCGGCCAGCAGCCTGTCCAGCAGCGCCTCTGCATCTGCCACCAGCTTGCATGCTGTCTGCTGGAAGTCCTGCACCGCGATCTGCTCTCCGTTGTGAAAAAGCGTCTGCTGGTCTTCGGACCACCGCACGGATGCTTGCCCGCTTATCTGCTGCCGCCAGCCCTTGCCATACGCCATCCACCCGATAATAGTGCTGATGATTGTATATGTGCCTGTGAACATCCATTTAGCAAGCTCCTTTTCGAATAGAAGCACAGCTTCTATGCTGACCTCCTCCCGCTCTCTTAGCTGTATCTCGAAGCTAGCTTCCAGAAAGAACAGCCATGCCCACCATAGTATAGCTGCAAGCATACCTGTATACAGATGTAGTTCTATATAGCCTGCTGGTAATTTCTTAATGCCTAGTGCTGCACAAAAGCAGAGCAGCGGATTCGCATAGATTCTGCTGCTTACATGCTGCTTGATAGAAGCCACCACAAACAAGAAGACAGCTCGGTCGAGCGCGCCGGTCGGCTGGCTCCCGCCTTCTCTGCCCCTCTCGCTCTCCTCCTCCTCCTCCTCCTCCTCCTCCTCCTCCTCGCTGTCCTCCTCGCTTTCTTCGCCCTCTTTGCCCCAGTTGCTGCTGTAGCCGCTGTCCTGGCTGCTGCTGCTGCTGCTCTCCAGCGCCTCGAGCTCGTATGCCACATCCCCCAGCAAGCTCCACTGCTCATCAGTAAAGCTGATAGCCCACTGCTCAAATGCCTTATCGCGCCCTGCATAATATGCCCGCAAGCAGAAGCCCAAGTAGCGCTGCCCAACGAGCCGGTATTTGGCCATCGATGCCTCCTGGCCTTTGCGTTCAAATGGCATCCCGTTTGGCGCCGCCGTGGAGATGCTGGCCAGCCACCGCAGCGCATTGGCCGGAACGCTGTCCAGCCGCCAGCAGCACCTGTCCACCTCGCAATCAAAGCTTTCTGCTAGCCTGACCAGCCGCGCCCGCGCCCGGAGTGCCTCCTCGTCTGCCTCCTGTGCCGCCCTGCCGCCCGCTGCTGGTGCCTTCACCCACTCGACAGCCCTGTGAATATCGAGCTTATCCCGCGAGCCGAAATGCCATACCCAGCCTAGCCTCTTCACCCATGCCGAGTCCCGATCGATCCCCTCCTCCGTATCGCCCTTGCAGAGCCGTGCTTCATCCTCTTCTTTGCGCTCTGCTATATAGTTCGCAATTATCTTCTCCAGCATGCTGTCTCCAGCAGCCTGCTTCTCTCTATCGCTGTGATAGCCTGCTCCCTGAACAGCCCAGTAGCGCACATACTTTCGCTGCGAGCATATCCATAACTGCAGCTGTGCTTTTTTCCAGCCCGGCTCTGTTGCTGCATAGCCAGCTGTCCTCCAGTGCCGCGTCATATTATCTCTGGCGATCGTCAGAAAGCAGCATTGTATGCAGCGGAAGCCATGCAGCAGCGGCAGCCCTTGAACTGGCTTTGATCTCTCGGCCGGAATATCAGTAGTAAGCGGATCCTGCAGCTCCATTGTGCTGTAATAGTCCACGATATCCCTTAGTAGCTGCCCTTTGATCTTGTGAGCGCGGAAGTGGCCTTCGATGCTATTTCCCGGGCGGACAGCATTATTGCATAAGCGGCAGAGCAGTATCTGGTATTCTTCGTTTAACTCGACCGTTTCCTCCATTCTGTCTTTTGCTTTGTATCTGTTTGACCTGGTTTTCTTCTGCTCTGGATAGCTAGCTATGATAGAACATTCTCTATTTCTTTTCTGTCGTCGTATTAATCGCGAACCCTCGTCGCGAACCCTCGTCGCAAACCCTTGTCGCGAATCCCTGTCGCGAACCCTGGGGTTGGAGTAACGGGAACCCACCCTAGAAAGTATCAGCCAATCAGGAGCTCGGCTTGGCCCAACACAATATAGCCCGAAAGCTCGGGCCACATTTTCGGTTTTGTATGAGCGATTTGGCCCAAATCGCCGGAGAATAATGCCTAGGGAAGAGCTAGCTAGAGATACTAGATAAGAAGAGCGCTTATCTTGCGCAGCAAGTATCAGTGAATAATCTTAAGCTAATCAGATGCTTAATAGCTCTTGTAATAAAAAATAATAAAACAGACTAGCTTATTATAAAGAAAGATATTTCGAAGGCTTCCATATGCTGAGTTTTCTAATCGGAGCTCAAGGATCTCAGTAGTGCAAGCTGGCTAGCTTTCAGAGAAATGTAGAAGAAGAAGGATCTGCTTACGAAATCTTTCCGCTCGGAAGCGGAACTAGCTGATAGCAGAAGCCTGGAGCTGTTAGCTATGCTTATCAAACTATGTAGCATACAGCTCTGTGCTGCTCAGGATATGCTTCAGAAGCTACTGCTAGCTGTTTACAAGCTATTGGTTGCAGCAATTAGCAAGAAAGAAATAGCTAATCTGATTTTTATGATAATTATTCTGAAGCAAAAGCTAGTTAATCTGGAGCAGAGCTTTCAGATCTAGCAATTCGAGCATCTCAGCAAAGCTCTGCTATGCTAAGCTGAGAAGATTGTAAACTATATCGGAGATCTGATTAGTATATAGCTGAATGTTATAATAAGAAATAAGATTCCTTCGCTAATCTATTCTACTCTGAATAGCAGTAGTATAGCAGATCTTGAAGCTGTAGGATCTAGCTTCGAAGATTCAGTTGAGAGGAGTAGGCTTGGTTTCGAAGCTGGTAGTTATTATAAATCGGGAGATCTTTAGCTGCAGAAGTTCGAAGAGCCTGTAGCAATGCTTCAGTACTTCTTTCTGCAAGATTCTCTGAGATAGTATAGCCAGCTTCTCATTCACCTTCTTCTCCTGCTCGAGATAAGCCTGAAAGATTACAAGCATGCAAGCCAGCTTAATAATAGCAGAATAGATAAAAGTATAATTAAGCAGTATTTTCCATCTATTATCTGCTCAGATACTGAGAACAGCAAGAGTGCTGAGAAGAGCATTCTTATATTCAGCATCTGGAAGAGAATAATTGAGAAGCTGAACTATAAAGTTCAAGCATGCTTTATTCTGATGCGCTGTAGCTGTAGCAAGAGGAATCCCAGCTGTATTTTCAAGCTAGTGCAGAAGGCGGGTATAAAGAGCGCTCTATTCGGTAGTAAAGTGATAGAGAGATTTCTGATTAGAGCTAAGAGCTTGTATCTATATAATATAGCTTAGAATATAGTATCAAACCTTTGTATATTACTGCTATGAATTGCTTTCGAATTAGCTATTGAATAGCTGTTTAAGCTTGATATACTTATTCTTCCAGTTAATTTCAAAGAGAATAGAATAGCTAATAACAGATGCAACTGCAGTATAGCAGGCCTGCTAAGCATTGCGCTGAAAGCTCTGCTAGAGAGCCTGCAGGGTTGGCTTGTTGTTCCGGATTAGCAAGACCAGCTCCTTGGTTCTGATCAGATCTAGCTTCTGTAAATGAGTTGCTTAGCTTACCCTTCGAAGCCAGAGATTGGGCTCCAGCTGGTTGTTTCCTTTCTGAATAATCCGGTCTGTTAGATTGGCTAGCTGCTGCTATATCTGGCGGAAGGATACTGTAATCAGCTATCTTAAGTTCTCTGGAATGTTAGGCTGGCTGTTCTTAGGCCTGCTCTGGCGTTGAATCTCGAACTATCTGCTGGCCTGCTAGCTCGGAAAGAGCTTTTAGCAGCATACTTGCATTCGCTATAGAATGGAAAAAGCTATCTTCTGAGCAGATGAGCAGCTATCTGTACAGAGATTTACTTATTCATGCAAGAAGCAGTAGTAATCTCACATCTTATAAGCCTGCTTAGTAATAAAAGAGCATTCTTAATAAGCAAGGCTATCAGTTTGAATATTGCTAAGCAGCAGAATAACAATGCTTGCTGAATTAAGAAACTGGAAATGCTGTAGATCTTATTAAATACAATAAATGCTAAGTGTCAGGGCTGATTGTGCCAGCAAGGCTCAGGGCTAGCTAAGCCAGCTGGATTACGGATGACTAAGCAATATGCGGCTATAAAGCGGCTTTCTAGCCACGTCAGCACTGCTGAGTAGAACTTAGCTCCTTAGGCCTCAATGTTATTCTGGTTGTATACCCCTGAAAGAGAGAAAAGACCTCGCCACATTGCCTTTGCAACCTTTCCACCTGACAGTTTGAGGCCTGGCCCTTTTAAAGGAGGCAATCCGGCGAGGCTTTCTATCTTTTTTTTTCCCTAGGAGCAGCGCTAACACTGAGCAGGAGCAGAGCAAACGATCAGACCACTATCCTTTTCGAACCTTCGAGCCTTTGACCTTCGAGCCTTTGACCTTCGAGCCTTTAACCTTCGAGCCTTCGATTTTCGAGCTTTCGAGCCTTGAATACAGCGAGCAAGCAGTGTTGAGCAAGCAGTATGCAAGCAGCGTGCAAGAAGCGTTCAGAAGAGATTCAGAGCATTCGAGTCGCTAAGCTAGAGCAAACAGCGAGCAAGCAGTATGCAAGCAGCGTACGAGAAGCGTTCAGAAGAGATTCAGAGCATTCGAGTCGCTAAGCTAGAGCAAACAGCGAGCAAGCAGTATGCAAGCAGCGTGCGAGAAGCGTTCAGAAGAGATTCAGAGCATTCGAGTCGCTAAGCTAGAGCAAACAGCGAGCAAGCAGTATGCAAGCAGCGTGCGAGAAGCGTTCAGAAGAGATTCAGAGCATTCGAGTCGCTAAGCTAGAGCAAACAGCGAGCAAGCAGTATGCAAGCAGCGTGCGAGAAGCGTTCAGAAGAGATTCAGAGCATTCGAGTCGCTAAGCTAGAGCAAACAGCGAGCAAGCAGTATGCAAGCAGCGTGCAAGAAGCGTTCAGAAGAGATTCAGAGCATTCGAGTCGCTAAGCTAGAGCAAACAGCGAGCAAGCAGTATGCAAGCAGCGTGCGAGAAGCGTTCAGAAGAGATTCAGAGCATTCGAGTCGCTAAGCTAGAGCAAACAGCAAGCAAGCAGTATGCAAGCAGCGTGCAAGAAGCGTTCAGAAGAGATTCAGAGCATTCGAGTCGCTAAGCTAGAGCAAATAGCGAGCAAGCAGTGTGCAAGCAGCGTGCGAGAAGCGTTCAGAAGAGATTCAGAGCATTCGAGTTGCTAAGCTAGAACAAAGTGTGTTCTTCGCTATTCGAGCGAGAGAGCAGAGTGAGCAAGCAGTAGATCTGAGTATCTTCTGTTTTCGAGAGTATGTTCTTCGCTATTTGAGCAAGAGAGCAGAGTGAGCAAGCAGTAGATCTGAGTATCTTCTGTTTTCGAGAGTATGTTCTTCGCTATTCGAGCGAGAGAGCAGAGTGAGCAAGCAGTAGATCTGAATATCTTCTGTTTTCGAGAGTGTGTTCTTCGCTATTCGAGCGAGAGAGCAGAGTGAGCAAGCAGTAGATCTGAGTATCTTCTGTTTTCGAGAGTGTGTTCTTTGCTATTCGAGCGAGAGAGCAGAGTGAGCAAGCAGTAGATCTGAGTATCTTCTGTTTTCGAGAGTGTATTCTTCGCTATTCGAGCGAGAGAGCAGAGTGAGTAAGCAGTAGATTTGAGTATCTTCTGTTTTCGAGAGTGTGTTCTTCGCTATTCGAGCGAGAGAGCAGAGTGAGCAAGCAGTAGATCTGAGTATCTTCTGTTTTCGAGAGTGTGCTCTTTGCTATTTGAGCGAGAGCGCAGAGCTGAAGCGGAGTATCCGCTTGGCAACTGAAGTTGCTTGGGTATTAGGTTGCAAACCAATTATCCTTCTGCGCCTAGCGGTGGAGCGAAGCGTGGCAATGGCTTCAGAGTTGCTAGAGAGCAACTCTCAAGACGGAAAGCTGTAATTATCCGTTATAGCTGCAGGGATGCTGTCCTGGATGCTGGGCTTCTTGGCTGCAAACTAAGTCCCTGGTGGAAGGCTTGCAACCTACATCAAACAGCTTTAAGTTCTGAAGAGTGCCTGGATAAAGCGCTGAGGGAGCAGCGACTGAGCAGCGTATATGGCGCGGGTATTGCACTCGGAAGACTTATATCTGGAATGTGATTAAAAAGAGATTTTTTTTTTCACAGGCTTCGGGGACGAAGCCAGAAGAGAAGGAGGGAGATGGTTGAGAGGCCTTGAGAAGCCTTGAGAGGCCTGAGGCACTGAGAGATCTTGAGAGGCCTTGAGAGGCCTGAGGCACTGAGAGATCTTGAGAGACCTTGAGTGGCCTAGAAGCCTGAGGCACTGAGAGATCTTGAGAGGCCTTGAGAGGCCTGAGGCACTGAGAGACCTTGAGAGGCCTTGAGAGGCCTGAGGCACTGAGAGATCTTGAGAAACCTTGAGTGGCCTAGAAGCCTGAGGCACTGAGAGATCTTGAGAGGCCTTGAGAGGCCTGAGGCACTGAGAGACCTTGAGAGGCCTTGAGAGGCCTGAGGCACTGAGAGACCTTGAGAGGCCTTGAGAGGCCTGAAGCACTGAGAGATCTTGAGAGGCTTTGAGAAACCTGAAGCACTGAGAGATCTTGAGAGGCCTGAGGCACTGAGAGACCTTGAGAGACCTTGAGTGGCCTAGAAGCCTGAGGCACTGAGAGATCTTGAAAGGCCTTGAGAAGCCTGAGGCACTGAGAGATCTTGAGAGGCTTTGAGAAACCTGAGGCACTGAGAGATCTTGAGAAGCTTTGAGAAGCCTGAAGCACTGAGAGATCTTAAGAGCCTGAAGCATTGAGAAAGCGTAGGAGCAGCTAGGAAGCAGCGAAAG